TCGGTACGTAGCACTAAGTGTACCCTGGTTACATGAAGTGTGACACTTCACACTTCAGGAGTATGACATGTCATACTCCGGGATATTTGGTACAAGGTACCAAGGTCATTCAAAACCAACCATTGGTTAAATGACATTGCATTACTATATAGTTTGTATTAACCTCAAACTTAACCTACCTATAAATATACTCAGTTTACAATCTACCTTATTTAGGTCACTTCGCTCTCTTTAATTAAAGAGGGGACCTGTGAACTGCCGTTCACTGAGAGTTTGTATACTCTCGGAAGATAACTTCCTCTAGCGCAAGGTGCTGTGTGACCCCGTCACACCCTCCCATGCAGGTGTGCGAGGGCGACGTGGTGGTCGGCGAAATCGCCGTCATGCGCCGTGCTGATAACCAGCGTCTCATGAATGTCAAGTTTGACTTCCGAATCCGCCGCCCCGAGGACGACGACGAGAGCATGACAGGCCCACCCAACTCGGCCGTTTTCCAGATCGAATAAACAGCTTGAACTTATGATTTTGCATTCACACTTGGTTATATGACGCTGCTCGAAGCTACTACTACTACTTTTAAGTACGGTAGTAGTAATAACTAACGATGTTAAGTACTACTTCTTTACTCTTCACCTCGCGAAAACGCTGTACTGTACTTGTTATATTGTAGTATTGTATTAGAGCGAAATATCACTTTTTATTCTTGCACGGCACGAAGATGGCAACCACGTTTGACCGGGAGCTCCATACGCGCTATTTCCTCAAGAATCTGCGGTCGCTGCCTGAGCCGTACGCATCTCAGGACTCGCAGCGCGTGGTGTTGGCTTTCTTCTGCATCCACGGGCTGGCACTACTGGAGGAACTTGAGCTCGTTGACAAGTGCCAGATCATTGAGTGGGTCTATAGTCTACAGGTGTCTCCAGACTGCCGCGACGTCAGCCTCAATGCGGATGACTGCGGTTTCCGGGGCGGCACCTTCATGGGGAACACCTTTGGTTGCCCACCGTCCCAGTTTCAAAGCGAGGTGTACGACTCGAGCAACATCGCGTCGACCTTCGCTGCGCTCTGCATCCTCCGGACGCTTGGCGATGACCTCAGTCGAGTGAACAAGGCCGCAATCATTGGATCTTTAAAACATTTACAGAACAAAACGACAGGATGGTACGGGACAAGCACAGATGGTACAGTCCTGATGCTGATGGTGGTTCTGTAGCTTTTCGTCAGCAAACGCTGGATCGGAAGAAGATATGCGCTTCGTCTACTGCGCCTGTGCCATATCTTACATTCTGGAAGACTGGTCCGGTGTCGATCGGGTGGCGATGGTGCGCTTCATTAACTCATGTCTGGTATCTCTCTCCCTCTAGTATTCATCAACTCGTGTCTGGTATCAACACGTATACACGACTGCTGACAAGATCGTTCGTTGTTGTGTGTAGAATTATGACGGAGGCATCGGGCTCAGCACTGGCGCTGAATCGCATGGCGGGGCAGTATTCGTTGCCATCGCGTCGCTGTTTTTGTCTGGACGAGTGATGCAGCTCAAGTGCGAGCAGTCGGATCTGGTGCGATGGCTGGTGTTCCGACAGCAAGGAGGTTTCCAGGGACGATGCAACAAGAGCCCCGACTCCTGCTACGCCTTCTGGAACGGCGCTACCCTCGACCTCCTGGGCAAACACTCGTTTGTGGATATCCCCAGCTGCAAGAAGTTTATCTACTCGTGTCAGTTCCCCTTCGGTGGATTGTGTAAATACCCCGACACCGTTCCCGACGTGATGCATTCGTACCTTAGCCTGGCGTGGTTAAGTATCGCGGTAAATTCAAACACGATCGTGGTCGATGGAGAGGAGCTTCCTAAACTTGCACCTCTGGACACGAAGCTCCAAGTGCCGTTTTTCCCAAAGCTCCACGGCACGACAAAAAAGTGAAACCCATTGTAAGTGCAGGGCAAAATGACATTTGTGTCAACATTCCAACTACTACTGGCACTGTACATTAGTAGTAGTTTATACTTGCTGTGAACCAAGAGGGCAATGCTTTGCGCTCTTGGAATATGGCTCTTGTGGATGATACGAGCCGCACGCGATCTATGATACTGTAAAAGAAGAAAAAACTCAGCTACTACAGTAAGCAAATGCTTCCTGAGGAGGCAAGAAGAATTTTGAGTTCTTATGCATTAGGCTGCTGAGCTACTGCTGCTTCTCGTCTACATTTTGGTGAGCTGGCGGGTACGGGCCAGCAAACGCGCAAGAAATGGAGACGCGGCGATCGTGAGCGCACCTCGTGCTGGGCCAGTAGCTACGGTCGACAGGTAGGCGAGTGCCAGTGTGCCGGCGTCTGGGTCGATACTGGACAAGTCCACGAAAGGGACGCGCTTGGCGATCGTCTTCAGATCGATGCCCTGACTAATGGCAGCGTAAGAGCCTGCGAGCGTCGAAGCGAAAACCGTAGAGTGGAAGAGGAAGGCGGTGCGCCCGTAGCGCTTGAGCACATCCTTAATGCGAGCAGCCATGACGAGTGAGCTTTTCTTCTTTCCTATCAGCGCCTTGTGACGTCACAAAGGAAATTCGGGACTGATCGCACGATTTGGAGAAATTCGCGCCAGCTTTTTCGCATGGGTCGCACATGGCGGCGGAACCCCTTCTTCGAGAACTGATCTCATCGTTAATATCCTGCAACACCGGATGTACGATCGCACACTTTTGTCATCATTGGCACCAACTTCACCAACGCACCACTACATGTATCTACCGATAGCTTCTGGCAATAAGCACATGTAGAACAGGCTGTACAGCTCTCCTTGAAAGTAGCTATCCTTGTTTTTCAGCTGACCCGCCCACTTGGCGAGTCGTCCTGATGCCTCTTCACTGGTTAGACACATCTGGCAGATCCAAAAACAATCCTTTGTGCGGTGAAAAAGCGCCCCC